TGTAGAACCAACGGTGCTTGTCGAACCTGAGGCAAAGTTGCTTCTTCAAGTGTAAAAGTTTGAGGCTGATGCAACCTAGATTGTGCCATCCCAGATGTTCCATCATTATGAAGCCTTGCCACGACTCCTTCAATCTCTGCAGTTCTTTGCGATAACGTAGCGAGGGCATTCATGATAGCATCCAACTTGGACTCCGAACTTTTCGTCATACTAATGTCTTGGCCTCCGGCCATTCTAAGAGAAGGACAGAAATGACTCTACAAGAAGACAATATTGGTTTAGAGGAGGGTACTCCACAACCTCTAAAATGTCTTAAGAGCTTCAAGAAAAGGGGTAATCCACTCTCTCCAAGAAGAATAAGACTCCAATATTGTAACAAAAGAAATATCAGTTTAGAGGAGGGTAATCCACAACCTTTAAAATGCTAGTATGCTTCCAAGCAGAGGGGTAATCCGCACTGTAATGAGGAAGAAACTAACTCTGATATCTGAGGTGAGTGAAGTCTCGACAAACTGTCACGGACACAGAAATACAGACTCGAGATCTAATAAGTTCAAGAAGAACTGGGAAGAATTAGATTAATCAAATGAATATAAGAACAACACCAAAGAGGTGAGCTAGAGCTCCAAGAGATGTGTTGTCGAGACTGAAGAACTCTTCAGCCTCGATTCTAATATATACTCCTATTTAGGAAGCTTCTCAAGCAACTTCTATCAACTAGGAAGCTTCTAGAAGGTTCCAGAGACTTACTTCTAGAAGGTTCTAGAAACTTATCTCTAGAAGGTTCTAAGGACTATGTCCCTAACATCTTCTACCAACTAAGAAGCTTCTAGAAGGTTCCAGAGACTTGCTTCTAGAAGGTTCTAGAAACTTGTCTCTAGACGGTTCTAAGGACTATGTCCCTAACACCATCCCAGAGAAAAACACGACTCTCTATGATAGATGATACAAGATTAAATATAATGGGAGGCCGAATCACAATTCGGTATAAACCATTTTCTGTAGCAAAAGCTTTTTCAACAACTTTATGATTCTTTGCAAGAACCAAAACCTCTTTTCTATTTAAAATGGCAGTCAAGAGGTGATAACCATTAATATACACATCTCGATAGTTGATCAGACTCCAAGGTGCTGAGGGTGCAAACATCACATGTTTACATTTTATGATGGAATCCACAGGTAATTTTACCATCGCTGTGCCCTTTTGGAAACAAAATGCATTTGTTCCAGCCATGGTCATCATATTTTTAGTTTGCCAAGTTGAAGATTTTTTAATAAAAAATCGTCTATCTCGTAAGATAGTATGTGTTGTTGCAGAATCAATGAGCGCATCATTTTATTCATCATTAGAGATTTTATCATTAATATAAGCCTTTAAATCATCAACACCAATTGAATCCATCGACGCATCCATGGTATGAACTTCACGTGCCTCGGCTCGTAGTTTCTTATTTTCTTGGAAGATTTTAATAAAATATTTTGAAATACGGCACGCATGTGCTAAATATCCAATCATTCTACACTTATGGCAAGAACGCATCTCTGATTTTTGTTTTCTATTATAATTAATAGTAGAACGTTTATTCTTTCTATATGGGTAGAAATGGTCATGACTATGATTACCCTGATACTTATAAGCACGTTTTCCATGTTTATATAATTTTTTCTTAGATTTTGAAATATTAAATACATGAGATTCTGGAACTGTAGTTCCAATAGGACGAGCTTCCATATTACGTAAGAGTAGCTTATTTTACTTCCCCGCAAGAAATAGATAGGATATGAGATCAGAATGACTCTGAAATTTCATGTTTCTATATTGTTGTGCAAGCACAACAAATACAGGAGGAAATATAGAGAGAGTTTTTTCAATCATTTCTTCTTTAGAGATGCTTTGTCCATATAATCGTAATTGTGAGACAATACTATATATTTCACTATTGAAAGCATTTAAATTTGGAAAATCCAAGATACGTAAATATATCCAATTATGATGTGCATATGGAAGGAAAATGGTCTTTTAATGATCAAACCTGGATTTAAGATTCTTCCAAAGTTCTGCAAGATGTTCTATTTCTAAGTATTGATGTTGTAATGCAAGTACAAGATAATGACAAAGGAGAAGAAGTGCTTTCCAACGAATAGCAGGAAGAATAGAAATACTCTTTATTGGAGATTCTTCAAACATAAAGGCATCTGAGAGTTGTTCTGCAAATAAATTTACTTTTGTCTTTTTACCGTTAATAGATAATTATTTCCATCCTCAATCAATGGTGGAAATAAAAGAGCTTGAAAATGTTGGGATGCACTGGTAATAGTTGGAACCATAGTAGAAGCAATTGAAGATGTTGAAGTACTCATTATAAATAAATCTATAAAGAAAATAAAAAATCAAGTAGAAAAGTTGAATAAAACGTACCTTAAAATATAAAGTCAAATAAAATGATAAACTTGAACTTGAAAAATAAAAATATTATTTATTTATTTATTTATTTATTTATTTATTTATTTATTTAAGGAGAGATTGTGGATTAATGCAGCAGAACAAAAGTAGGATGGCGGTAGGGTGGTAGCAGCGGGCAACAGTGGCATTAGGGTAGGCGGCAGTGGCAGTGTCAACATCAGCGACGGTAGGGTGGCAGTAGTAGCGGGTTTGACGGCAGTTCGACGGTTGTTTGGCAATAGGCATGGAGCACAGTAGGGAGCAAGGTGAAGCTAGGTTGGATCAAATATTCTAAGCAAGCAGGGCAGAGAGTGGAACAAGTGCTCTAAGCAAGCAACTAATGTGTGAGGGGCCATCAAGAAGAGCAGCAATATCATGAGGCAGACACTGAGCAAGAATAGCAAGAAGAGTCAAGACTACAGCAAAAAAAATTATGATAGTGTGTAGAAGAGAATTGTGCTGATAACATGTTGAGAATGTTTAGAAACACACAAGAGTAATAGTAAGTAATACACACACAAGAGTAGTAGTAAGTCATACACACAAGAAGGTTTCTAAGGAGAGAAAGCTTCACACATAAAATTCTATTGATCCGGTTGTGTCTCGTATACAAGAAGAAAAAAGGGGAGAAGATAAACAATACTTCTCCACTAGACTCTAAATACTGTAGCTATGGTATTTACTGTAGTCTATAGTAAATATTATGGAGAGCGCCTGGTACATTTAATTATCTTAACAATCTGCTGCAACAATACATGTATATTGTACATGTACATGACCTACGGGACTCGTTCTGTGTGGAAAGAGCGTTCGAGCTACTTACGTCTGCGTTATTCCGGTGGCTAGTGACGCAGTTTAATGACAGCATTTCGGTATTGGCCTCCTGGTTTATGCACTAGCTTTCGAGCTTTCATCGTCTGTTGCTGAATTGGAGTCACAGAATTATGACTGAGCAGCTCTAACTACGAGCTTCAATATTATCAGAGGAGGCTCACCTTCATTCCGTCGCGATCCTTCCTTTGATGTTTGGAACATTCTTTCACTTACCTGCTCTGTAGATTCAGATGGCAATTGATAGAGAGAGTGTACCTCTTTGGAAGGGGCTGCTTTACCTGTTCCTCATGAATACTGTGAGCTCTGCCTTTGGTATTTACTGAGTATGTTTGGTAGTGGTTTACTTCGTATGCAAAAGCTTGTGTCGCAGGAATCACCAGCAGCGACGCTCAGCATCAGTTCAGAACCAGTTTGGGAAATTCTTGTGCACCAATTCTGCCTGGAAGTAGCGTATGCCTCTAGAGTTCGATACAATCTCATTGTCTTCTTCATATCGGCCTTGTATTGATCGTGCATGTGAAAAACATTGGCTCAAAACAACATTTCATTGCCAAAACTCTCTGGAATATATACTGAAGTTTTCTGCCCTTGGGCTGTCAAGTTCTTCCGAAGTGCACAATTACATACACAATGTGCCAGACCAGGTCTACTGCTAAGGTCTAAATCTTCTGCGACCCCAATCGAATTGAATCTTTGATTTTTACCTATTCAGTTACCCAGGAGACGAATCTCTTCACCATTGATGAGACTGGACTGTTTGTGCCTTCGCCGTTGTGGTGTGTCCTGAATTTCTTATATTCAAAGTGTCCCACAACCAAAGTCGCCTTGAAATTATTTATAAGTCTTACAACTGGATTGTCACTCTTGAAACACCTCCAAATAGCCGAACGGTGATGCTTTTATATCATGCACTGCACGTAGATTTTTTATCCTACAAGTAGAAATGAGTTTCTAGAGGGTCAGAATGGGGTTTTACGTCATTCGTAAACAAATAATTTCTCACATGCTGGGTAGAAACTATATTCAAGTTCAATTTAAGAAACACTCTGAATCGACAGGGGTACATGAATGTTACTGATTTCCAAAAACTGTGCAATCTGCCGATATCTCTAAAAATTCTCGATGGTGCTAATTGAAGAACGATCTTGACATTTTATTTAACTTAGAAAGCAACGATTCTGTCACCAATTCTTACTTGACTGGAAACTCTCTGTGCATCCTTGGAACAATTTTTTAAGGACGCCAAGCTTTCTTTTATCTTCAATGTAGCATAATTACCTGTTTTCGAATTTTTCTTCGAGTTTAATTTGTCAAGCCCCTTTCTTAGGAACATGGAGACTATTCTGCACACAAGCCGATAGAACAATTGAGTTCTTCTTTGGAGCATTTGAATGAAATTTTGGATCTCTCAATTCCTACTCCTTCCAATTCGAATAGCCTCGTTTAAGCGAGAACATCCCTTACTATTATTATTATTATTATTGTTAGATTTAGATGTCATGGGCAGAAGAGAGTAATGGCTATGTTGATGTTCACAAGTATGATTTGATTCCCTCCTCTGCATTGTGGGTGGATTTGTAATATTACAGTGGAAGTTTGGACGAATCTCCTACTGTTGCGACGTAGCAGCTAAGTTATGAATTTCATGAGCATCAATGATCTCTGAGACACCATCTTCTACTTCAGTGAAGAGCTTGCCAAGGAAGACCGATACACACTGCGGTGGATGAAATGAGGGATCATGCTTCACCAAGCCTGAACACAGGTATGACCTACAAGCCTTCACAATCTACAATGATGAATGAATTGTGACACAGTGCTGGAATACACTTGTGACCTAGAATGCCTGCCAAGTCAGCATTGTTTAAACGAAGAATTTCTACAATTTAACCAACCTATCAGGCTGATCACTCTACAATAATCAATTTGCCTCAATCAGAGACAATGTTTGCATCATGACTTCATTGCCTTAATCTAAAGCAAGAATAGTCGACTCGGAATTCTTCTAAGTCGTCACTCCGGCAAGCCATGTCGGAGAAGGTAACTACAGAAAAACTACATCCAAGCCCATCCTGAGGGAAAGCCAGAGCATCACTGCTTAATCACCTGCAACAACAAAGCTAAATGATTACTACTTTCAACGAGGCATCCGTCACAACGGCAGGTTTTCACAACTTTGACACAAGTGCCTAAACTCAAATCTAAATATGTCCACATTTTGGCTACATAATACTGTTGGCGAGAGGAAAAGCGACACTGTAATATGTCGCAATTCACATAGATAGTGTCTCCATTAGCAGTTTTGAGGTGGTTGGAGGGTCGGTGCCTACAGCAAACTCTACGAAAATAATCTGAGCAACGGTTTACAGGCTTGTGTTGAGGGATCTTTCTTACCGCAGGAGAACAAAGCTGCATCTTAAGTTTGGAGTGATTCATAATTCTGATATTATACTTGACTTGGAGGAGTCCAGTCAGAGAGAGACGGGGTATGGGGAAGAGTTTGTTGTGGGAGTTGTGGTTGCGTGACCACTTTCACTTCAATGTCGCTTTGTCTACGTCCGGCACTTGAGTTTCGTCTTTCAGACCTCCATCCCCTCCTCCGACTCGTTTGTCTTGCATCTGCATCCGCAAGTTTCGTCCTAATGTGAACCAACATTTTGTATACATCGTCCATATGTGGACGTTCTTCAGGTTTGATCCGAGTGCAAAGAAGCGCCACTCCCAGGACCATGGCCATTTTTTGTTGATGCGCCACAAGGTCCGACATCAGGAGGGGGTCCAGTACGTTATGTAAAGCTTTGGAGTTTGATACAGTTGCACGGACCCATTGAGGTAGGGTTTGCGCTGGTTCGAGTCTGTCTGGACTCCTTCCAGATATCATTTCCAACATAACGATTCCGAAACTGTACACATCGCCCTTCTTGCTTGGAACTCCTGATTCCCAAACGTCTGTTAAAGACATAGACGAAGTCAAATTGGTTAGAAACGAAGAGTCGGTAATCAATCTATTACATGCGTCACCAACTTTGCTATGAGCCAGAAACACCACGAACGTCCAATCTACAACTTTTTCTACCCAGGCACTAGTCATCGTAGTTAACGAAGTAATAGAGCAGATAGACTGCTGATGCTTACCAGGAGGTGTGTAACCATTAGGGGTGGTGATCCCCATTGAGGGACTAGCTCGCTGTTGGGTCAAAATCCTAGCAACTTCAAAATCACCAATCTTTGCTTCCATTTTCGCGTCGATAAGAATATTGCTCGGTTTCACGTCACCATGCACAACTGGGTTACGGCTTTCGTGATGTAGGTACCTTATTCCCTCAGCGACTTCTACGGCTATATTAAACCGCGCCGTCCAGTCAAAAGCTTGAATTACTTCGGCGTTCTGAAGGGGATGTAGCAAGGACTCTAGGCTGCCATTGGGCATGTAATCGAGCACCAGTGCCTTCACATCTGGACTCGAGCAATATCCCAAAACTTTCACCAAACTTCGGTGGCGGATGTGCCCCAGCGATTCAAGTTCCGCATTCAATTTGTTTTCTGCATCTTCTCCTTCAGCACTGGTTATGGCAAGCCTCTTTACAGCGACGACGGTCTGGTCTGGGAGAACTCCTTTGTAAACGGTACTCAATTTGCCTTCGCCTATGTAATTTTCGTTGCTAAACCTGTTCGTGGCGGTCAAAATTTCTTCCGCTGAAAGCTTCAATTGAAGCTCGGCAGAAATTTGCGCTGAGTTTCTGCTACCCTTCCGTTTCCGTCCTCTGCAAGAAACAATGAAGGACGCTATTGACACTAGTGCTAGTAATCCTGCCACACTCCCAAGCACAATATAAATGATCGTGCTGGTTGCAATCTTGCTCGAGCCGCATGATTTATCCAGAATACTTCCACACAGCTCCGAATTGTTGAGAAAACTTTGTGCCCCGACGCTGTCATGGCTGGCGAAGAAAGGCAGTTCCCCTGATAGGCGATTCGAAGAGACATTTAAATGTACGAGCGAGGGGAAGTTCACAAATGTGCTTGGGACTTCACCGACGAAGTCGTTGAAAGATCCGTCGAATACCTTGAGATTTAGCAAATGGTCGAGAGTTGGGAGGGAAGCATTGAGCGAGTTATGAGAAACATTGAGTTTCATCAGATTAGGAAATGCACCAACAGGCACAGAAAAGTTCCCCGTCAAACTGTTGCTCGCAACGGTTAGTTCGATCAAACTGATGCACTTGCTTATGGCCTCGGGGATACTGCCTGAAAGTTTATTCGCAGAAAGATCAATCCGCTCAACCAAGCTCAACTCGCCAATCCCGTCCGGAATACTCCCAGTGAGGTTGTTCCGCGCAAGAAGGAGATTCTTTTTCAATGTAACTATACCAATGTTCTGCGGAATCTCACCGCCCAAGCGGTTATTTGTCAAATCGAGATCTTCCAAAATAGGAAATGTGGTAATGTTCAAGATGTTCCCCTCCAGGATATTGTTTTGCAAATGAAGCGAGGTCAAATTTTTCATGTTTTGAAACGGAATGAAGCCACTGATATTGTTGTTACTCAAATCAATATCCTGAAGTGCGGTGCAGGCCGTGAGATTTTGTGGGATCATTCCAGTAAGATTATTTCCCGCAATGTGTAAGGTCTCCAGGCGATTAAGTTGACCAAGTGAAGAAGGCAATGTACCCGAGAAACTATTTCCAGACAAATTCATATTTCTTAAACTCAGAAGGCCGCCAATCGAGGTTGGAATAATCCCCGCCAAATTGTTGTTGGATACAACAAGCGAAGTGAGGTTCGTTAAATCTCCAAGTGAAGGCGGCAAAGCACCCGTCAGGTTGTTACTCCGGATGTCGAGAATCTCCAAGTCGGAGGCCAAGCCAAGCTCGGAGGGGATTTCACCTGAAAACTGATTAGTCGACAGATTGAGAGTTTGCAACCGTGAGAGACGCCCCAGCGCCGAAATAAGACTGCCCTCGAGGCTTTGATTGTAGAGGTTGATTCCTGTTACTCTTCTTCTTGTGCACGTAATCCCCACCCAAGGTCTGCAGGGATTAATCCTTTGCAGCCTACCTTGTGGTTTCCAGTACCAGGTAACATTTGAAGGGTCACTTGTAATGGCCGCCTTGAATTGTAAAAGGACGTCAGCATCCTCTTGCAATGATTGCGTCGAGTTCAAGGTCTGCGTGAAAACAGATAAAAGGATTAAGACTAAAACTTTGAGCTATGTGGTACTGAAGTGAGTATCTTTTCCCATGTAAAATCCTCTCAACGCAGGTCTGACAAAATCATTGAGGTACGTACAATCTCCTCCAGACTCGGTAAACTGCTGGTTGAATCAATGCCCATTTCATAAAATTAAACAAAGAAATTAAATAATTCAACTGAAGCTGAGCAATATGTAAACCCACTCCGGGGAGATTTTTGTAAAAATTATTTAATGTTGAATTTTTTACTTTCATCCCGAACAGCACACAAAATTTTCAGTTTTCGTTCTCTCCAACTCTGGAAAAGACCCAAATCCATTACCAACCCCAATGTGCCATGGATGCCTGCCTTCATCTGAAGATACGTGAGGTCTAAGAGGTGCAGCTGCTTACTGTAGTGTTATTCGCAAGCTCTCTCCTGGTGTTGGCTACTCCCATCTTCATATGAGAGACCTGTGACATGGACGCTCCATCCGACATAGCCTCAGACCCGCAAGTTGCCACAGCCAGGGCGCAACTCATGAATAGGAGATACAGAAACGGCGCTGCAAGCCCTGAACGCTTAAAGACGAAGCGGATACCACTTCTCACCATTTTGATGTAATTCTACACTGGTTTCCAACATTCACTAGGTACTCAACAAGCGCTGGTCAAAGTTCACCTTTAGGTTTGTCTCTCTGGGAAAAAATATTTACAAAAAGAGTATATGGTGTCCCTTGGGCTTGGTTCAATCAATCAATCCACCTCTCAAGTTGTCAGTCTCCTCTTTCTAACCCTGCCTTTGAGCCTCGGTTCTACAGGTTCAAATTCTAGTGATGTTGTTTTACCCGCCGATTGATTTCAATTTTGCTCCTCAGCCTCCATGTTAAGACTATGTGCTACCTGCTCCAATACAGACTGTGTTTAAAAGAATCCAAAACCCCTAAATCTTCTACTCCAACTCAAAGGGCGAGAGAATCATACGAACTCCGGTCTGCTCGGAAAGTTCAGCAATCAAAACTAACAAAATGTTCGAAACAACATGTAGAGCTTCTTCTTTCAAGGTGTTTTACTCCACACTCAAAAAACAGCTCAATTAATCCCCCCCCCCCTTCGCCCCCAAAAGTCACCCAATTCTCCACTAAACGTGTCTCAACCTCGCATGCGCTGGAAATCTCGAAACAGAGCCCCTGAGGTATCTCTCAACGAAACTGACCCATCTCTCAAGCAGACGATCGTATGCCCTCCCGTCACCCAAACAAATACTCAGCAACTTCACGGAGTTTTCAAACGCTGTTAAGAGCTCCGCACTCGAGGAACATCGCGCAGCATGCACAAGGACGCCCCACCAGTCTCAGGGCAGCAACCTAACTACAAGAAAAAAAACCGAGACAAACTCCATCTCTTCCACGCCAATATAAACTACAGCGAGAAAATAATTGCGGATCGAATGCGCCGACACCTGGTAAACAGGGCGAGGAAACTGAAGCTAAATTCCATCCCTGTACCATTTACTACTCTGCGAGCACGGCGTGTCTCGGATTGCATGGCCCCTTGTCAACAATGCCATGACCCCCAGAGTCATCACACCACTCGGTTTCAACTGCACGACCAAGACCCTTCCCTCCCTCTGAAATTCGGTGAATCGCAGTGTCTGCTCCGAAGCTTCGGAGGCATCCCTCCCAAGACCATGACCCCCCCCCCCGGTCGCCGTCACCGTTTCCGTTGCCTTCGGGTGAGCTTGGACGGATGCAAAACGGACGGACGGACGGACGGACGATTAGACGGACGTACGTAATCTGGGCACCGTGTCGAGGAAGGGCAGGAAGGTGCTGGGGACGCTGCAGTGTGAACGCATGCTGGATAACGGGCGGGGCAGGGTCCCCCCCCCTTCATGAAACCCGGTGGGGAGCCGGAGTCAGGCGCATCGAGGACCGTATTCTGGCTATGACTACGAACGGATTCCGTATGCTCTCGTTATTGTGTGTGTATTCTTCTCCGTGTGGTACAAATTTTCTTTGAGTGCCACGTTGCCCTAATTTAACTTTTAGCAGATTTGAAAGCATCAATATCTTAACAGAAAACTATCATTGTCACTAATGCATATGTATTCCAAAAAATTTATAGACTTATTTATGATTTTTTTAGAATAATCTGATGTATTTTATTTTTATTTGTTGAATCCTTCTAAATTATTAGTATAATTATTATTTTTATAATATTCAATTTAATATTCATCCCTTTGCTATTTTATTTTTTACATTCACCTTATTTAGTTTTTGTTTTAATTTCCATGTGAATCTCCTTATGTTATATGTGTAATCATGTATTACCATGGATTATCAATATTTATCATAAAATTGCCATGCACATACATATTTATTCCAATAATTATCTATATGATTAGGTAGAATTAGATAAATTTAGACTAATTTCATATTATCTTCTAAAAAAGCTTTGTAGAAGCTTCATAGATGCAGCTTTGATTGTACACATATTTATAGTTGATTAGTAGATTAGAAACTTGGTCAATAACTTAACCACATGTCAAATGTGTTGATAGCTTATGTAACAAGATAATTATTTAGTGCACATATAAAAAAACTTGCCTTGTAAGTTAAGACATATGTCTAACAAAGTCAATATGTATTGGAAGTCCTATAGAACATTGATGTATAGCTCTTAATTAAATAGTATATATAGAGGCAAGAGTGAAGCCTTCTTCACTCTTGTCAAAGCCTTTTTAGTCCTTAATTTTATTTCAAGACTTTCTAGTCTTTTTGTCTTTAGCAATAACCATTCTAATTCAATATATTACCATCTTTGAGTAATCTTTTAGTCTTTTTAAGTAACACAAGAGTGTATTGAGACTTTTTTTTTGAGATAAATATCCTTGTCAGTTTGATAAGAGTGTTAATTCATTGTTCTCATCTTGTTTTAGAAGTGAGTGAATTATTCCACTTTTATTTTTGTGTTTTAAATATTGAGGACTACCCACCTTTAAACAAATAGTTTAATCTTTTAGCACTAATTTTTTCTTTAAAGTGAGTGAATTATCCATGTTTGTGGAAATTCTTATATGACATTAGAGATTATAGATTATCTTCCTCTAATTTGACTTGCAAATTTATTAAGTTATTTGAAATAGAATGAAAGATCATAGATGCTACACTTGGTGGAAGTAAAAATATATTTGCAACTATCACAAATTCACAAGCTTGTCAATATTTTTAGAATAAAAATTTCATACATGTCTAACACCAACCATGAAAATATTATTCTTACACATATAGAAGAAGTTTAGTGTCTATGTCAAAAAGTTGTGCAATTAAGAGAAACAAGCTAATTGTCCTTATAACCAAATTTATGAAGTCTTCTTTCTACAAGTGTGATGAGAACAAGTATTAATATACTTAAGAAGTTTGATGGAACAAGATCAATATTTCAAGGATTTTTACAATAACTCAAGTTCTATTTAACGTTGCATCCTTTCTAATATTCTAATGGATTTATTACAGTTAGGTTCATATACACACTTCTATCTGGAAGTGCTCTTTCTTAATTTATACCTTTGATGGAAAATTATTCACGACTCTTTTATGATTTGAATTTATTCTTAGAAGTGTTTATTTCTACATTTGGAAAAAGTGATCAAGAAAGAGTAGAAAAGATCAAACTATTATCTTTATAACAAAGATCACAATTAGCTACCATATATATTGTTGAATTTTGAAACTTTGCTTGTGACAAAGCTTTTATCATTCAATTTTAATATGGATTGAAAGATAACATTAAAGGTATTATTTAAAAGACATCAAAAATAAAGATTTGGCTAAAGAGAAATAAGTCAAGTAATCATGGCAACTCCTAAGTTTTCATAAACTTATTCATCAAGCCTAGAACCAATGCAAATTGATACAATACGTTTTAAATTTGTCACAAAGTAAGAAAAGATTTAATGTCATTAAAGGAATTTGTGCTTATATTATGGAGAAGCTAAGCACATTGTTCAACATTGTTTTAAAAAGCAATGAAATCACAAAATGAAGAGATTGATTGCTAAAAAAGATAATATATCAAAAAACAAGTTTTTTTAGCTACAATAGGAACCATACAGCTAGAATCATATACAACATCTAGTAAAGATTTCATTTTTTCTTTAGTTCCTTCATCTTGTTAAATAATAAATGTATGTTTAAGACCTAAAAATTACAAAGTCTTTGTATTATTCATGATTCTTAATTTAAGTTATAGATAAAGACTCTATCTAAAAATAAGAAATATTTTTAGTTAAAAAAATTAAACTTCTATATGTAAAAGTCATAGATGGTCATTTGTTATTTTTTAGAGATATTATCCATGAAATTTCTCTTTTAGATGCAACAATTTAAGATCATAATAGAGTAATAAGATCTCACTCCAATCCGATTATTTTAAAATAATTATGATTAAAAAAGTATAATCTTCAAATAGATTTAATTTCTTGTAACCTTGACATTTTTTGTAGTTTTATTCAAAATTCTATTAGTCAATTAAAAATACATAAGTTTAATACATCTAAATCCTTACTAATAAATTCAAGAGCTTTTATATATGATGCAAATGAAGGATCATTTTTTGTTATATATATAATATCTATTTTTGATGGTGAAAAGATGTCAAGTAGTACTCTTAGTCAATATTAAGATTTCCAAGACATGTTTAAAAGAAAAATATAAATATTCTTTCAAAGTATTGATCTTATAATTATTCAATTGATCTACAAGAAATAACTCAACTACCATTTAGGCTAATCTTTAGCTTATCGCAGAATGAGTTGGCTCTACTATTAGAATATATTGATGAAAACTTAGCCAAAAATTTCATATGCCATTCAAAATCTCTAACATGAGCTTTTATCTTAATTGTGAAGAAAAAAAAATAGATCTCTATGGATATACATAGACTATCAAGGATTTAACAAGATCACCATCAAGAATAGGTATTTTCTATCTTTGATTTTAAGAATTTTTTATCAATTTAATCAATCAAAGATCTATACAAAAATAAATCTACAATGAATATATAACTTGGTCTATATCAAAAATAAAATAAAATAAAAGATTAATTTTTGAACTAAGTATGGATATTTCAAATATAATTCTATATCTTTTGGACTCACAAATGCATTAGCTACTTTTCAACATTGTATGAATGATACTTTTCAAGATTTTTTTGATAATTTTATTGTCTACTATTTAGACAATATTTTAATCTACTCTCAGAATACATAAAAAGATGAACTTCATATTCATCATGTATTACAAAAACTTAGAGATGTAGGATTATATGTCAAGATGAAAAAGTGTATATTCTACTATACTCAAGTTGATTTTTTAGAATATATTATTTCCAAAAAAAAGGCCTAAGATAGATTCAAAGAAGATCTAGACTATCATAGATTTAAAGATTTAAAAATAATAAGAGATGTACAATGTTTTTTGGACTTTGCTAATTATTATCAAATTTTTATCAAGAACTTTTTTCAAGTTGTAAGTCTACTTACACATTTAACTTGTAAATATAAACTTCAATAGAATAAAGAAGCCTAAGCATTATTTGATGCTTTGAAGAAGGAATTTACTTATGTACTAATTTTATATTGCTTTAACTTTTTTAAGATAATTTTTATAAAAATAGATACATCAAACTTTTTTTCATATGCAATATTGTCACAAATGAGAATAGATGACAAACTATCTGCAGTAGCTTTTTATTCCAATAAATTTTAAGTACTTAAGATTAACTACAAAAATTACAACAAATAGCTTTTTACAATCATGAATTTATTTTAAGAATAGCATCATTATTTAGAAGGTACTTTGAGTCCAACTACCATATATGTAAATCACAAGAGTCTCGAGTACTTCATGTCAATATGTATTTTGAATCATTTCTAAAGCCATTGGAACATGTTTTTATTAAGATTTGATTTCAAGATCACTTATTAACCCAAAAAACAATAAGATTTGTTAGACATCCTTTCTACATATTCTTATCTTGTACCAAAAGAAGGAGATACATCTTTTAATCAACAAAAAATAACTCTCTTGAAGTTGGAGCACTTTTATTTTTAAGAAATAAAATCAACATTGATTGTTGATTCAACTTTTCTCAAGCAAGTTAAATTGAGTATATCATTTGATTTGTTTTTTCATGATATTAAAAATAATTCTTTCAAGTTTCAAGATTCTTCTAAATTTGAATTTAAGAATAATTTATTTTATTTTGAGTGATGATTATACATTCGAAATGTAATAGGATATAGATAAGATAATTGTATAGATAGTTAGAACCAAGGAAGTTTCTAGAATTTGAGGTTAGGTTAGTTGACTAGGTAAGATCTACCATGGAACATTTTACAAAAAATTTAGGATGATTATCTAAATAAGGTCCACTATAGGATCTTTAAAAAAAAAGGTTTAAGGCGGTTATCTAGGTAGAATCTATGACTTAGGAATATTTTAGAAGGTCTAGGGTGATAGAATAAGGTATAAATGAAATTAGCTAGGATCTTTTCAAACATCTACTCAGATATTGCTTTGAATCCTTTCTCTTAGTAAAATTTGATTTTGC